CAGTCCTATCGGCTGTACAGCGACCATCACTGGACGAAGCAGACGATGAGCTGGCAGCGCTACAGCTGCTGGTCAGCAACGACGATCTTCCTTTCGGCTGCGAGTTCAAAGGAGGCGAGGCGAAGCTCAACGACATCTACGCGGACATGAGCACGAGGAGTATGACGCCTCACGAGCGAGAAGCGCTCATGGAGGGCAAACGCAAGGAGCTTATGGAGTTCTTTGACGACGACTTGCGGGAGTTCTACAAGCCGACTGGCGTGGAGGACCCGCGCAGAATCCTCAAGGCGAAGAGAGTACTCAAATGGGCCAAGAACGACGATGGCACGCCTAGGGCGCTAGCCAGATTGGTGCTACAAGTGTTCATTGACCCCGACGCGCTGAACGGCGGCGTACCTACGACATCACCTACGGCATCGAGGCTGGGACGTCAACTGACCATGCTGGTGGTGTCAAACAACGGCTGGAGACTCTGGACAGCACACGTGGCAACGGCATTCCTTCAAGGACGACTCCAAGAGCGTGAGCTATACGCTCAGGTGCCTAGAGACGCGGCAGAGCTCATGGGATCAACTCCGACACTTTGATGAAGCTCGTTGGGCCGATGTACGGCCGGGTGGATGCAACGAGGCGTTGGTGGCTACGCGCGGTGGACGGCCTGAAGGCAAGCGATCTCAAGCAGAATCCTCTGGAGCCCTGCGTATTCCCTCGTTTCGACAAAGATGGCAACAACGACAGGTTCATCGACATGTTCAGAGAAGGAGACCGGAGGCCAGGAAGCCACTACCAAAGGTCATCGAGGAGGTCAAGAAGCGGCTCAAGCAGAGGAAATGGATCGAGGATGACAATATGGACTTCTGCGGACCAGACGTCAGCCAAGTTCCACACTGAAAGAGCCAGAAGTCCAAGCAGCGAGATCGATATCAAGATGTCGACCTACGCAAAGAACCTCAAGACCTGACGATCAAGGAGATACGGCAGTTACGCGGACAACTGGGAACACTACAGTGGTCAAGCTCACAGGCGTGTCCACACGTATCGGCATCAGTCAGCATTCACAAAGGTCAGTTGCCGACGGCGACGGTGGGTACTGCCAAGGAGGTTAACAGGACGCTGCGGTTCTACCAGCAGAACGCGGACGTGGGCCTCAACATGAAGAAGATCGGACCAGTCGGGGACATCGTACTCGTGACGATGACCGACGCAGCTTGGGGAGTACGGTATGATGGAGCAAGCCAAGGACGATACGTCATCCTGGCATGCCATAAGAAGGTCCTTCAGGGCTACGAGTCCGACTCCAGCTTGGTCAACCGGAAGTCCTTCAAGCTAGTATGCTTAGCACGACCACCATTGCAAACAGAGCCCCAAGCAGCAGCAGTGGGTATGGACGCACTGGAGTTTACAACGCGGTCCTGGGCGACTATGATATACGACGACGTGGACATCACCAAGGACGAAAGCACTCACCAACCCTGTGAGTTAGCACTGGTCGTGGACGCCAAGGCGCTCTACGACACAGCTAAGAAGGAGAGCATCGGCAGCTTCCAGGACAAGAGACCAGCCTCGACGTGCTGGCGTTGCGCGAGAGGATGGAGGCCACCGACACACGCTGGAGGTGGGCATCTTCCGCCAGGCAGTACGCGGACGGGCTCACGAAGATTGCAGCGAGACGACATTTCGCGGATCGACTACACCATGGGCGGCTCCAACTCATGCACGACACAACCTACGGTGGCCAAGAAGAATACCAAGGAGGAGCGGTAGGAAAGCATCGACCAGACGAGGGCGGCTACGTCATCAGCATCGAGGAAAGAGACCCTCCCCCTCGCAAAGCTGGCAGTGTTCACATCGACTTGCTTCCGAAGAGCGGCCGGAGCGACCAGCAGCAAAGAGATCAACGATGGTGACAACATCATATTCTGGTTTGCCCTGCTGTGCGCGGTCATGGGCATCGCTGTGGCATATTCTCGACACAAATCAACTACAAGACGAATGCCGAATACACTTAAAAGATGGAGTTGGCTACACTCAGGGCAAAAAAACAGGGAACTTGAGAGGATCAGCGAGAAGGCGAAGGAGATCGAACAATAGAGGATCAGCGAGAAAGCGAAGGAGATCGATCAGGATAAGACAACAACACTCGCCAAGCCCGACGAGATGGCAAGCAGCTCTAAAGACCAGTATACGGCAACAACGGTGGGAGTGCAGAGAATGGTGACATACAAGTCCTACGGCGACACCTGAAGATTCCAGCACCAGACCCAAGGGTTCCAACGAGCAGGCGAAGTCACCACCAAGGATGTGACCAAACAACAAGAAGATCACCAAGTGAGAGCAGCACAGCGTCAAGCTTTTCAGTTTTCGAGTTGTATATGTTGTGCATCTCCCAGAGCTCAATTACTTGTCACACTTTGACGGGTGTAAGATACACGCTGTACATCTGTTTGTATGCAGAGCTGTGGAGAGGGAGACTGGAGGAGAAGGGGAGTACAAGCCCGCCCCTAACGTGGCAAATCCCTAACTTCATCTGACCCAGGCCCTGTCGACACTGCGCCAAATCTAACCTGGCCCATCCAAGCTAACGTGAACAACGGCTCGACGACACCAGTGTGTCACGCGAGCTGTAGCAAATGATGCACGATAATGGAGCGGCACAGCAACATAGAATGCAAAAGTGCCAACTGTATCACTAATCCCTCTTCGTTTCCAATGAAGAATCTGGCCGGCGCTGAAGCGATAGCAAATTTCGCAATCATGGATGTGGCCGGCGCTGTGACGAGAGCAACATTCTCAAACATGGATGTGGCGCCTGGGCGGCAAGCAGCACTTTGAACCAGAGATGTGGACTACGCACAAGCCAGAGCATCATTCCGAGACAAGCGTCTCGCCAAAATGCAAGTGTCACGCCCATTCCGCGCAGGCCGGGCTCGGTGTCACCGAGGTCCAGGTTACGTTAGGTGGACAGTCCACGATAAGGGGGGTTGTACAGTCCTCGCAGCCTCTTCCGTAAACATTGTGGCCAAAACCTTAGGGCCCTTAAGTCACTGTTGCGCGCTGTGAAAACATCCCTGGTGTTATTCAGTGTCATATCGCTTCGTATTGCCATCAAAGGCTTCGAGGGCTTTGGTAAGTTCATACCACGAAACACTACACGTTCAACATTATGAGAAATTGCGACAACGCCCACATTAAGCTGCGGCAGTCATCCCATTCCGCCCGGAAGTGGCAGCAGCAACAGTAATGAACAGCGAGGTTGTAAAAAATGCGGTCAATCGAATCAACCAAAGTAATCAACATTCTGGCGTAATGATAGCCATCATTGTGACACCCTCGAAGCCATGTGGCTACCTGCAACATCCTGTAGGAGCTTGTTCTGCATCATTTTCAGCGTCTCCCTCTGCGAGCGCAGCAGCTGCAACATCTGGGTGGTCTCGATGGGGACGGTCTGAAGCATCAAGCTGAAGATGCCCTCGACAAACTCCTGCTCGTCGATCGAGCCCGAGCCGTCAGCGTCAAGATCCACCACCACGTTTGCAGCGGAGGGCATTCGTCAAGCGCCGTGGATACTCGCAGAAACCACTTCTCCCTGCGAAGTAAAACCAAGAAACGAATTCGCGCCCGAACCAACCTACCCAATCCAAGCTTCACATGCTCTCTTGAACGCCGTCGCCACGTCTGTGCACTTCCCATGGGGTACTAATTTTGCAGCTGCTCGGGATGCTCCTGCGTGCCAGATGGCGGACACCCGGTCGACCCCAAGAATGCCCAACACCTCACAGAGACAGCCTCCAGATGGCACAGTACCGACCTGCTGGTCGCTTCCTGTCGCTCCTTCAAGCCGCCACAGTACCCCCCCAAGGCCGCACGAACAACTCCCAAGACGGCACGACGCCCCTCCGAGAGGGCCCGACGACCCTGAACAGCACCCCAGCAGACCCCAAGAGGCCCCCTCGGAGAGCCCGCGTGCAGGCCCGAGGAAAGCCGACGTCTACGCAAAACGAGGCCGTGCAAGACGAGCTCTGAACGAAGCGGAGCACACGGGGCACATGCGAAGCACGCAAGACCTCCAAGTCGCACAGGGCACACGGAGGAGCACACAGAACACGCGGGACACACGGGGGCCACGCTGCGCACACGGCGGGCAGCGAGCACGCATGGCGCACGGGGGCAGCGGGGGGCACGCGGGGCACGCGGACCGCGCAGGGCACACGGGGCTGGCAGCCAGGTGGCTGGCGTCCGCCCCCCACGCGCGGAGCACGGGGCAGGAGTGCGCGGGGCGCGCGGCACGAGTGGATCACAGAAGGCAGGCGATCAGGTCGCACACCCGCGCCTCCCGCCCTGAGGCCTGGCACCACATGCTGGCTTTCCGCCCGCCGGGCCTCGGGATGGCGTGGACGCCATCGCGCCCCCCGTCGGCTCGAGGGCCACAGGGAGACCACAGGCAGGGGGCAACGGCCGGCGCACATGAGGTGGCAGCGCCAACAGGCTGGAAGATGCTGTAGACCTCGCTTTGTGGTTCGCAGCATTCCTGGACGAATCTTGATTGGCCTGGGCTGTCAGCCCAAGGGTCTAGAAGGTGATAGCAATTACGATATGTACGCTCGCTCCTTCAACGACTGCGATGGCGATCCCAACACCGACTGCGATACACACTTCTGCGAGAACCCACAGATCCCCGAAACTGTCTCTATGACTAAGGAAATGTATTTCAGCGTGGCCTAGCTTGGCTCGGCTTTACTTGTCTTGAATTGGTTTGGATTCGCTGAGCGTCGCTTCGAATAGTTTAAGACACTAGAGCGTGCATGACGCAGCGAACCTTCTAGCTGCTCCAACTGAGCGGCGCTAACCAGCCATGCTCTGCACGTATGCGTCGATACCCCCACACGGCCCTGGAATGGCGAAGACCCAACCATGCACCGCCATAGCAATGCGGCGCCGCCGACAACCTAAGCACCGTGACGGATATACGCTACAGCGCAATTGGATATTCGCATACTTCTATGAGCTGGTCCGATTCTAAGATTTTCCTGAGGTCTGCTGGCAGGCGCTTCGTGGTGGCTGGCGGCAAGGCTTCCAACTCGGCCCTGAAATCGCTCAAGCCGACAAGGCCCTTGCCAGACTTGTCGAGCTCCTGGAAGAGGGCTGTCACTAAAGGCTCGAGGATCCTCAGCCTCTTGCGTTTCATGGCCAGCTCAAGCTCTCGATCGAAGTCGCCCTGCACGATGGCCGTGTCCACGATGAGCGCAGTGATCCGCAACGCCCCACGGGGCAGCGGCGCGCGAGACCTTCTCCATCCCCAGCCGCTCACCCAGGGGCCCCTGTGGTCGCGAAAGCTGTCTGTCCATATTGGGGGAACACGACGACGCCGCACGAATGATCACGACCGGATATCCTAACCCATCATGCGCCGGATCTCTCGACCCCCCTGATCCGTGATGGCCCAGGGGCCGAAACGAGGCAAAAACATGCATCACGGCTTGGGTTCGACGGCGAAATCTAAGTGTGAAGGGGCCGATCCAACTGAGGGCCCGACCGTGGGACTGCCCCGACACAGCCTCAAGACGGCCCCCGAAGGCCTCAGACAAGCTCACTCTCTCTCACACACACACACACCGACTTTTGGGCGCTCGCGGGCAAAAGCCGATCCATGCCGGATGATGTCGGCCCCCGAGCCTCTGGAAGCTTTGACACCCCGCAGGCCTCCCGGGGCCGACTGCTGCCTCCCAAGCCGCTGGAAGTCGAACATCGAGTTGTCGAGGCCCGAGCAATTGTCTGTGGAGGCCCCCGGAGCTCCAAGCGCCGACTGCTGCCTCCCAAGCCTCCGGAGGCCGACCATCGATCTTCCGAGGCCTCACAGCCTCTGGAGGGGGGCCGACTGCTGCCGCCCAGGCCTCTGGAAGCCGAGGAGTAAATTCTGGAGGCCCAGACAACTCTTGTAGCTGCCTCCCACTGGCCATCGCTCGGACGTCCACTCCCTGTGTTCTTTTCGGTTTCGTGCGAGGTTTTTCGCCAAATGATAAGAGATGCTCCTCGATGGTCCTCGCCGAAGGAAAAATGCGCACGTCCGAGCGATGCCAAGCCCAAGCTTCCAGGGGCCGGCTGCTGCCTCCCAAGCCTCCGGAGGTCGGAGATCATCGGGGGGCCGAGCGCTGCCTCCCAGACCACGGGGGGCCGAGCAGCCATCTTTCGAGGCCCGCAGCATGGTTTCGGCTGCCGCCCAGGCCCCCAGGGGCCGACTGCTGCCTCCCAGTGCCTACCTACCAGACCACCCCAACCCGAAGACCCGAATTTGACCCGAATTTCGGGTTGGGGGGGTACGGGTTCCGTGTGTTTTTTCAACGTTCCCCGACCCCCCCAGACCAGAAATGGAGGGCAAATTGAAGCCTTCGGGTTGGGTTGGGGTGGTTTGGTGGGTGGTGCCCCAGGGCCCCAGAAGCCTAAAATCAGTTCGTCGAGACCCGAACAATTGTCGTTCCCGCCTCCTGGCCTCGGGGAGCCGACTGCTGTCTCCCAGGCCCACAGAAACGGAAAATCTATGTTGCGAGGCCCGAGAAATTGTTCCTTGGCTGCCTCCCAGGCCTCCGAGGCACCGACTGTTGCCTCCTAGGCTTCCAGGAGGCCGAAAATCAATTCTCCGAGACAGGCCCAAACATTTTTTGTTGATGCCTCCCCGGCTTCTGGCGGCCGACTGCTGACTCCCAGGTCGCAGGCCTCTGGAAGCCGATGGATCCACTGTCGGATCCCGAAAATTGTTCCTGCCGCCTCCAAGGCCTCCGGGGGCCGACTGCTACCTCCCAGGCCTCTGGAAGTCGAAAACCAACTTCTCGAGGCCCGACAAATTGTTTCTGCTGCCTCCCAGGCCTCCGGGAGCGACTGCTGCCTCACAGGCTTCTGGAACCGAATCAGCCTGAAGCAGACAACGAAGACACAAAACTAAGGCCACACAAACATCGAACGAAGCATACCGATGGATTCCAACGGAACTGATCGAACCGCGACCGGCCATGACTTGAAGGGGAAAGAACACGAAAAGGAGGTGGACGGGGGAGGGGAGACAAAGCCATCCCGTGCACAGCGATAGCAAGGGAAACACATATGGATATCTAGGCGCATCGAACCGAGATCGAGTCGGGTCGAATTCGAGTCGGAATCGAATCGGCTTCCACTTGCGCCAAATCGAATCGAAACCGAATCGGAATCGGGCGCGCTCGCGTCGGATCGAATCGATCAAATCGGAATGGACAGTGCGAGGCGCGATGCAGCTCTCGGGGGGCGATCGGCGCAGGGGGGCGCGCCTGCGGATCGGCCACACCCGAGGAGCGAGTCGCCAACCAAGAGCAGTGTTGGGAGGAGTGCGGCAGGCGACACACACACACACACAAGGGGCACCGTGGCAACCCAAGGTGGCCCCCCGACCGCCAAGGTGACCCAGAGGGCTCCCCGGGGCCCCCACGACGCCCCAAGGCGACCCTGGAGAGGCCTCACCTCCACCCTCACCAAATGCACAATCTGCATACTCTCCGCTCTCCCCCGAAAATGTGCTGAAAATGGTCGCCCCACCTCCGCGTCCTGTTATATCACCCAGGATTTGCGCGAACTGGCTGTTCAAATGGTTTTGACGATCCGATGGTTTGTACTTTTCAAAAACGGTGCTTCCAGCATGAGCCTCATTTTCGGATCGGCGCTGGGCTCCCGTCGCTCAGCATGGCGCTCCCGCCCCAGCGTGGGCGACTTTTCTGGATCACACAGGTCTCGCAGGTCCCACGGGTCTCGCAGGCCCCACGGGCCGCACAGGCCCCATTGGATCCACAAGTGTCGCAGGTCGCCACACAGGCCCACAGGCACCGCTGGTTCCACAGGTCCCAAAGGTGTCGCAGGACTCACATGCCCCGCAGGTTCTACAGGTCCTACAGAACCCGCAGGTCCCCGAGGTGTCGCATGTGTCGCAGGTCCCACAGCGGCCCCCGTGGCCCCACAAGTCCCGCAGGTCCCGCCGGTGCCACGGGTCCCGCCAGTGCCGCGGGTCCCACAGGTCTCGCACGTCTCACAGGTCCCACGGATCCCACAGGTCCCACAGGTCCCACAGTTCCCACAGGTGTTGCAAGTTTCACAGGCCCGACAGGCCACAGAGGTCCCCCAGGCCGCAAAGATCCGACAAATTTCGATTTTTCCGACTGCGCTAAACATGATGGAATCGGTTGTGAGTTCCAGGTCGGCCATGACACGCATCCGCGGATGGAGAAAAAACAGCACACAGGGAAGCTGGGAGGGAGGGAATGGATGTCAGATATGGCGCTAGCGCACCTAGCTTGATTTCCGCCTCTCTCTTCCCCCCCACGGACCACGCTCCATCTGCCGACATGTTGTCCAACCTCCTTTTTCAATGGCTTCAAGACCGCCGAAGACGGCCCACTGCGGCCCCAAGACGGCCCCAAGACGGCCCCGAAGAGACCGAAGCTGATGTCCCAAGACGGCTTTGTCCGGTCGTGTCCTCCGCGAAGTGGGGTGTATCAAATTCCATGCCATGATCGTCACGATTAGCCAGACAAGTCCAAAATAGAAAACCAAATGCCATGCCCTCTCCACGATAGGCTTGTACACAACCGAAATGGAATCCGTGTTGGCGAACTGCACGAGCGTGAGCATGGTCACTTGCAGCGACGGGAAATACGACTCAATGACCGCTGCGGCCGCCGGATCTTCCCACAGAAAAGAATTCCTTGTGATCAGCTCAATGCCAAGGCAGGCAAACGCGTACACTATCAGCACTATCAGAATGCAGGCGGAGAGCACAGTGCGGAGCGCAGCCATGAAACCATTCGCGATTTTCCACATCTCGTGAAACTGCTCAAAGAGCCGTAGGGCTCGCACGAGGCGAACGAGGCGCAGGAGCCGCAATATGAGCGCCAGGGAGAGGATATCGAGGAATACGCTCCCGCCATTGTCCATGGTAATCAAGAGAACTGGCTCTATGACCCATGAGGAGATCACTCCTATAGCAACCAGGATCGCGTCGAATCGAAACCACCCGCCCCGCAGGACGACCAGGCCATCAGCGAAGGAGCGGATGAGCAGCTCCACTGTGAAGGCCACCAAGAAAACATGCTCTAACTCGTGAGTGATGTTCTCGCAGTTCGCACTGTCCTCGAGATCACATTGGATCTCCACCCCGACGCAGATGGAGCTCGCCACTATGAGGAAGCCGATGACAGCGTCGAAAACCTTTTGAGGAGGGCTCCCCCCTTTTCTTGTTTGGCGCGTGCTGCTCTTACAACAAAATGCGTGTCCTCCTCGTCACCCATCCACTTCTCACTCATACGCTCTCCTCCTGTTCCTCCTCATCACAATCGTCCTAGTGCAACGAGTTTCCTCGTTCTCCTCCTCCGCCTCCACCTCCCCTTCCTCTTCCTCCTCCTCCTCCTCCTCCTCCTCCTCCTCCTGCTCCTCCTCCCTCCTCCTCCCTCCTTGTCCTCCTCCTCCTCCCCTCCCTCTCCTCCTCTCCCCTCCTCTCCCCTCCTCCTCCTCCTCCCTCCTCCTACTACTACTTATCCTCCCTTTTCTCCTCCTCCTCCTTCCTCCTCCTCCTCTTGCTCTTCCTCCTCCTCCTCCAACTCCTGCTCTCCTCCTCCTCCTCCTCCTCCTCCTCCTCCTCCAACTCATCCTCCCCTTTGTCTCCTGCTCCTCCCCGTCCTCCGCCGCTTTCTCGCCCCCCCTCCTAGGCACAACGTAGCGGCCGACAGAATCTGTCCACCACCAGCCTGAGTGAAACACGTGGCCAAGGACGTACCTTGCAACCGCCCTTAGCCACGCGGATCAGACAACACGCCACGCTGGCGTCGAAAGGCACGCAGGGGCTTCACAGAGGGGTCAGCGCGCAGAGCCTGCGAGGCCAGGCTGAAGAACGAGTCAGACCTCCGCGGTGGCAAACACAGCGAAAACCAGGAATCCAGGCCCAAGGGCCCAGAAACCAGACCGAGCGCGAGCAGCTCGGGGGGGTGGGATAGAAGCGGCGCCAGGAGAGGGAGCCCCAAGCACCGCAAGACGAAATGCCGAGGCGCGAGCCTGCTCGCAGCAGTCCGAAACATCGAGGGAGGGCCGCAGGCAGAGGGAACGGGAAGCAGAGAGGCGCAGCACGTGTCACGTCGTCCCCGCCTCAAGCTGAGCCGAGGCCTCGTGCCATCGCTCGGACGTCCATTCCCCGTGCGTTGTTTCGATGCCGCGTGTGTATGTTTCGCAAGATGGTCCAGAATGTTCCTCGAAGGCCCTCGCCCTCCAAAAATGCACACGTCCGAGCGATGCCAAAGAGGCTCGCGCGGCCAGTCACACAGGTCAGCAGGCAGGGAAAAGCAGCCCGCGGATGAAAACACCCCGGACCGCACGAGCCCACATGCCGAGAGGGGCGCGCGGGAAGAAAAGCAACGATTCGGGCAGGGCCACACGGGCGCGCCATAGAGTTGTGGATGCCACGACAATGGGCACCCTAACAGTCCTAAAATGTCGGAAGAATGTCCCGAATCTGTTTAAAACATGTTACTTGCATGTTTAGACAACTGGAAATGATTGGGCAACCTGCTTCCTCTCCATTGATCGTCCTCCACAACCATATATATATAGAGAAAGAGAGAGAGAGAGAGAGAGAGAGCTGCTGACAGGCCAGACAAATGGGGCGCTGTGAAAGCAGCCTGCGCAGGCGCCAACACCCCACCCTGAGGCTTCGAAACCGAAGCCACCCGGAACTTGACCCGAGACGCCACACGGAACACCTTGCCGTCGAGCCTGAACACTCCGTTCGCTGGCCTCTTGAACACCGTCTGCGCCCAGTCACGACTGAGGGGCATGGGTTCCCGAGGCTGGAGACGCGAGAGGCGGCAAAGCACGTGCAGCGCGTGCAGCCAACAGCAGGAAAGCCACCTTGCAACGGGATGCGTACAAGAGCATGCGCCTTCGATCCCGTAACCAAATTGGCCTGGGCAGCCAACGCACGACTCGCGATGTCGATGGATACGGGCTCGCGCACAAGGATCAGCTGAGTGGCGGGGGGATTCCCACAAAGATACTCTTTGGGGCGCCCGCAGTCAGCCAGCCCATCGGAGAGGCGCCCAACCCGGGGGCCCAATCATTCCAAAGCCTGACGCCACGCTTGAAGCTGCTGAGAATCACTGAAACCGATACGGGGGAACTCCGCAGCACCTCTGGCCACCTCGTCGGCCTTAGCATGCTGGCAAGGCTGGGGTACCCAGCTTCAAAACTGAACCGCCAAAGAAAATGTCACCCGTGTACCCGCAGGGGCCTCCTATCCCCCCGACCACTGGAGGCCCTGGAGGCGGTCGCCCAAGCACGGGGAAAAGCACCAGGCAGCGCCCAGCGAAAGTCGGCGCCAACTGAGAAGAGGCAAAGGCCAACTGGCCGCGCCGGCGCGAAACGAAGGCGGGCCCTCGAGCTCATGCCTGGGACGCACACAGTGCCTATGCAGGAGCGAACGATGGGCGCCAAGGCGCAGGCGGCCACGGTGGGCGGTCACGCGGCCGGCCGACCACTGACGCTTCTGGGGCCGTTGGCCCCCGACAGCGGCACTGCGGAGGTGAGCATTCTGCACGGTGGCGAGCTTGCTGGAGCTGCCGAGCAACACAAGCAGGGAGCCCAGAAAGGGGTCCTCGGCAAAACTCAGGCTGCCCAAAGTTGTCTGCAACTCTGTCGCGCTGCCACGGCTCAGCAGCACGGTAAATCAGAGCCTGGGTAGTGATGGGGGCAAAACCCAGCTGGGTGGATGTCGGCATCTGAAGTCACCGCGACGCCCGCGCGCCTGGGCGCAGCCCGCAGAGCGCAGAAAGGGCATTTGATGGAGGGCCACGGGTGCTCGAGTAGCACCCGGCGTTCGCGGGCCTCGCGGAGGCCAAAACCCAATGCGTAACGGGGCACCCGGGGGTGCCAACGCGCATGGAGAAGTCGTCGACAGGAGGCCCGGGCGCACGATGCATCGGGTCCGACTGGGGCGCCGGGGGGGAGCCGCAGGGCCAGAGCGCGTGACTTCCTATCTTGGCGATGGTCGTGCAGCCTGCCAGCTGCGCCTCCGCGGACCTCGAGCTCCCGCCCGTGCGCGCCCGCCGCCGAGACGCCGCGCGCGAACGGGAGGCCCGAGGGCGGCCCGAGCCGCGCGTCCAGGCGCGCGCCGACGAGGCCGGGGCCCCTCGAGGGCCCCCGTTCCGCACCCCTGCGGGGCGCATGTGGCCTTGGCGCGGCCTCGCGCGGCAGCCCCGCCCCCGACCCGCCCAGAAACAACATCCACTCCAAACTCCAAGATTACACGTCGTTCAGTTCTAATCGTGCTCAGCGCTAATTGCGCTCGTTTCTATTTGTCCCCGGCCCCCCAGTGGCCAGGAAGAGGCCCAGGATAGAGCAATTAGAAATGAAAGGACCTTGGCCCCCCAAAAAATCAAGAACTTTCGAATAATTAGAAATGAGCAATGTGTACGCTCAGAGCGAACGGGCAGGGGCCGACGAGTCTTGAGACTGCTGGGAGCGACGCTGCGCGCGGGCGCGGAAGTGCCGAGGGCGCGCGACGCGTCGGCGGTCATACGGGGGGCGACACCGCGCAGCAGCCCATGCAACAACTTGCCTGCAGCGGCGACGTCGCCCACCGCGCGCGGCCCAGCGCCCATCCCCATGAGGCCGAAATCGCTGGGGTTGACGGGCAGCTGATTGGCGGGGAAGCGAACTTGGGCAACCCCTGGAGGTCTTGGCCTTGACAGAATTAGCTGCAACATGCAGGTGGCAGAAGTAAATCCCGGCGCTTGCGTCTGCTCAACCTGCAACGAACTGCCAACCTCACCTCCGACATCAATGGTGCGAGGCGCTCGGTGCATTTGCGCCAGGAAGTGCATTTGCCGCGTGGGAGGGCTGGTGGCTTGCGCCGCGGAACTGAGCGATGATGCTGCACTGGATCGGGAACCGTCTAGAGATCGAGCAGCCGCATGGCAGGCGATCTGTCCTTGCACGCGGAGCGCCCTGGCCAAGCGGCTCGAACCCGAACGCACTCGCCCGAGGACTTCCCGCGAGGGAACTGGAACTGCGAAGCCTCCCCGCTCGGCCTCGCCCGCCCCTGGCTGCCCCAGCGCGTGCCGGGGCCGCGGGCCCCCCTGCCCTCTCGGCAGGCCTGGCGGAGCGCCGCCCCGCGCAGACGCTCGGCCTCGGGAGGGGGAACCAGGGTGCCCCTACAGCTCGGGGGCGGAAAAGAGGGGGGCGATGACTAGGGGGGGTGGATATCATGGCGGGGGCCATGATATTTCCCTAGGGCTCCCAACTTCGCGCTTCGCGCTCCCCGAAGCGCGAAGCGCGAATAACTTCGCGCTCTCGCGCCGCCCTCCCAAAGGGAGAATAGGAGGACGAGGAGGAGGGGGAGAAGGAACGAGGACCGCGAAGCGCGAAGCGCGAATAACTTCGCGCCCTCGAGGGAGCCCTTGTTTCCCCAGATTTCACGGCCTCCTGCCACGCGCTAGCGAGGGGGCGCCTCGAGCGACACTGCGCGCGAGCCAACGCACGCATCAGCCCGGGAGGCCGCCCCCCCAGACCGTTCGGGAGCCCACGCGACGCGTTTCCACGCGACCGGCCACGCACGCCCACGCGCGAATGTGATGCGCGACGCCACGCAGAGCCTCCCACGCAGGAGGCGGCGACAACAGAGACCTCCTAGATGGGGTCGGAGCAGATGGGGTCGGAGGATCTCGCCGCATCGCCGATGCATCGGCGATGCATCGGCGACGCATCGGCGACGCACCGGCCATGCACTGGCGACGTCGGCGATGCATCGGCGACGTCGGCGTGGCGAAAAGTGGGCCCCTCATCGAGCCTCCGACCCCATCTGCTCCGGCCCCGTCGGGGAGGTCTAGAGACAAGGAAGAGCGGGCGCGGAGAGATCCGATCGAAGACGGTGCCCGAGCTACCCGCGAAACTTTTGATCGACTGCGCGAGCTCGGCCACCGTGGGCCCGGCGGGGCGCGCCCCTGCCCGACCCGCCGCCCCTTCTTCCGCATCCCCTCCAACGCGTCGGTCGACTCGAGCGAAGCGCAAGGAAAGAGGGCGCCACGGCGGATGCCGTCGGGCTGCCTGGGGGCGGGGGGCCAAGAAAACTCAATCAAGGCCGACGTGCCTCAGGACCGGCGCCCGTCAACCCACCTCGCCCATTCTCTTTCCTTCGCCGGAGCTGAGAGCTGACGGTGCCCCCGCGCCTAGTCGCCCGCCAGCTGCGCCGGGCACTGGGCAGCCAGCGCGGGGAGATGCTGAGCCCGGCGCAGAGCAGCCGCCCGCGCAGCAATCGCGGCCGCGTCGGACAGCCGACGAAAACGAGAGAGGCGGCGGGCGACGGCGACGAGCTGAGACCTGAAGGAACCTTTCGGCTCGCGGGCAAATGTCGATCAGCAGCGACTGCACCTCGCGCCACCAACGCGCCACAGGCCAAAGCTTGGGACATGTGGGGGCGGGGGCGAGCACGGAGACTATGAGGGTTTCCAAACGGCGCGCGGGGGCGCATCCCTGCCCCCAAAGTCGCCGCGCCTGTTCCCCGAAATCTGAAACTGACGAAACCACTCGGCCTCGGCAGCCCTCGGGAACGCGTCCCGCTTGACCTGGGCCAGAAGGTCAGGGTCAGCACGCATAGGCCCGACGCGTTCTCAAAGATCAACGGCCGGGGGCGGGCCGACACGCCCAGCGCGGGGCTCGCGGGGGACCAGAACGAACCTCACCCAGCACAAAGGCTCAGCCGAGGGGGCGGCGGGCCTGACTGACTACCTACCAGACCACCCCAACCCAACCCGAAGGCCCGAAGTTGACTCGAATTTCGGGTTGGGGGGGGTACGGATTCCATGTGTTTTTTCGATGTTCCCCGACCCCCCCCCCACTGGAAATCGAGGATAAATTTGGGCCTTCGGGTTGGGTTGGGGTGGTTTGGTGGGTGGTGAGACTGGAGGGCGAAGAGAGCTGGGAACATCGAGCACAACGCCGGCCCCGGCACGACCTGCGCTCTGCCCGGACAGCGCGAGGTAATCGATGCACCGCACAGCTGGCCTGCGCGCGCCTCGCTGAAGGGCCGCCACGGCGGCCTTCATCACACCAACCCACCCAGTCTTGACGAGGTCATGCTGTGAAAAGTTCCAGTCACCACCCGTGACGGAGGCAGATCGCAGATGCCACCAGAGCCGGCCAAGCAGATGTTGACAGAGCCGCCTCTGAACAGACCTCCGACGTGGCGAATCGGAGCTCGAGCGGGAACGAGCCCCTTGTCAAGGTGCACTAGAACACCGAGCACGACTCGCCTGACAGTAGCCGCGACCAGCCCCCCTGAAGGGTTGCCTTCAGACCGAAGCACCGCACGCGCGGAAGCTGACTAGCCTGAAACACGCGTCCTGGCTTCAAGAGAATGAGACGCAGGAGAAAGAGCACGCGTCTCCTGTAATGAAAGAGCGCCAGACGAAGTGGCTTCAGAAAGGTACGCATTGAGGCCATCATGCCCGCCTTCATTGGCGGTGATGGAAGTCCACTGCCTGCGCCTGCTAAGCAGAAGACGTTCCTTCGAACCTGCTTGGCGTCCAGCTTCAGGCATGCCGAAAGGAGTGATCATAAACTTCTTGCCGGCTGCATCACTTAGTCCGCCAACGATGCGTTCACTGAGCTTGCGCGTGAGACCTTTCTTGGGAAAGCATCCCAGCCCTCATCAGTGGTGAGGCACCGGAAGACGGAAGCGAAAACGCGGGCAGCCGCTGGGCCGCTCTCCGCGCCAGACGCGCACCCTTCCCACGCCCGCGACCCGCCCCCCACACAGGGATCGAACGAGGCAGGCGAGGCGCCCGGGGCAATAGACACAGACGCAGCAGTGGCACTGCCAAAGACAACGCTGACGGCTGCCTCCTCCAAAAGGCCCGGTTGCTGCAAAGGCTGTGGCTCAGGGTACTCACGCGCGCCATCCTCGTCGTTGGCGCCCATGGAGTCGTCGTCGGAATCACCGCCACCTGCTAGCTGAAGAATACCGCCACGAATAGCCATGAGCGATCGTAGTGGCGACGCGAAAATAGGATCCAGGGAATCGAGCTGCATGAGCAAGGCAAAGCCAGGGTCATCTGGCGTGACATCAACGGCACCAGCTTCGCCGCGCGGAGCACGCGCCCGTACTGAACCTGGGGCTGCTCCGACTGCTGCCCGCGCCGCCGTGGCCTTGGCAGGCGCGACCTTTTCCTGCTCATGCAGTCTGGAGAGCTTGGCCTTAAGCGAGACCAATTCGAGCACCTGCGCCTGCATGGCCTTCTCCAATTTCGCGACCTGCTGCTCGGACTGCACGACATGCCGCTTGACACTGTCGAGGGTGGTGTGAACGTGCTTGGCCAACGCCCGAAAGTCCCCAGGTGCCAGGGCACCCTTCGCGAGGACACGAGCTCGCTGACTGTGGCCGAGCAAAGCTTGCTCGCGTCGAAGTCCTTGAGGGACATGCGGACGAAGCCGGCCAACTGGCCGGGCTCCAGCAACTTGGGTCAGTATGTGGGCCTGCCCTGGGCCCAATCTTCTTCAGCCTCACGGACAGGAAGACACCCATGCACCGGAGACCGAACATGGCCGCATTTGCAGCAGATCTTCTTCAAAGAATCGGTTTTGAAACCGCATTTTTGCCCGGGCAACACCACTCATCACAACGAGAAAGACTACCCATGAAGGGAAGAGGAAGAAAAACAAATGTGGGGCGAAATGGAAACAATGAGGTGGAACCTCGGTGCTGCATGCAAATGGGGGCCGCGTAATCCCACGTGCCAGAAACTCTCGTCCTCTGAGCAAGCCCTCCTCCCTCCTTCCCTCCTCCTCCTTTTTTTCCTGTTGCTCCTCCTCGTCCTCCTGCTCCCTCGTGTTCCTCCTCCTCCTCCTCCTCCTCCTCCTCCTCCTCCTCCTCCTCCTCCTCCTCCTCCTCCTCCTCCTCCTCGTCGTCGTCGTCGTCGTCCTCATCCGATAGCCTTGCCGTGCCGGTGCACCAGCTTCCACGACACCAGGCGCGCCCAGCCGATGGGACCAGACAGCGCGGACGGCTCCAACACCGAAGGGGTGGAGTTCGAGGACCTTTGGGTCAGCCAGAAAGAAGGAGAAGGAGGAAATGGAGGAGGGAGAAGAGGACGGATATGCCACCTTGCCGCTAGGCACGTTTCGGGCGTCGTTTCACTGGGCGCATAAGACGGGGGGGTGAGCAAAAATACGCCTTTCGTGCACCTTCGGGCCCCCATGAGGACCCTTTAGGACCCCTCTGCTGCAACCCTCGATGCCCCTACCACCTACCGCCTTCAGTTACGAAGCGCCAGCCAGAACGCTGGGAAGTGTTAGAATGCCAGGGCTGTGCTCTGATGGCGGCCTGTCTTCGCCGCGTGAACCCCCCAGGTACGAATGGCGGACGTCATTCGCTCGCTTTCCAGCGCCACTCCCAGCATCAAGACAGCCCCGTGACGGCCCAAGGCCGCCCCGAGATACCCGCAAGCTGCACCAGGACAGGACAGGACAAGCGCCAGAAACGTCCCGCAGGGCGGCCTTCCTCGGAGCCCAACGGTAGCGCCGAAGCATCGAAACTCAAGACGGACACGACATCCCAGGCTCGGCGAGAACATAAGCACTTGAACGCACTACGGGCAACGCTTCGCAACCTTGTCTGCGCCGGCGGCGAGGCATGGGTCGCCTGCGCCAGAACTGCACAGGGGCGACGCCGAAGCGAACTAGCCGGCGTGCAGGGAGCAGGGGAACAGGACAGGACAGGACACGCGGCTGCACCAGGGGGGGGAGGGGCGAGGGCCACTCGTGGGCGGGCGGGTCGCGCCCCTGCGTGGGCTGGCGCGGCCAGCCCCGCCGGCGGGGACCGTAGCAGCAGCCAGGCCGCTGCGCCGGTGCACCTGCGGATGCGGGGCCCCATGCGGGCACTGAAAAGAAGCGAGACAGCGAGTCGCCGACGTAGAGTACGAGGTGCAAGGCCTGCGGGCCGCGCGCCGCCCAGGTGGGGGTGCAGGACAAGGCGCAGCAAGTAAGAGTGCATCCAGGTTGACGCGCATATGAGGAGATGCAGGGTCAGCGTGGGGGAACAGGCGGCAAGACCAGGCCCAGGATCCCGAACGCGTGGCGGCTGCAGCAGGCAGCAGCCCAGGCGCCACGGCGGCGCGCGAAGGGCAGGAGAGCGGGCAAAAGGGGGGCGAGGGAGAACAGGGAGGAGGAGCGCTCCGCCTGCGGGAAGCCCCGCAAGCGGGGCGGCAGGGGCCAGCAGCCCAGCGCCAGCACTGCAGCTGCCGGCTGGTGGCCCTGGCCGCGGCTGTGGAGGCCAAGCGTTGTCGGGGCGGGCAGCAACGGGCCAGTTTAGGGGCACCTGGTCGGTGCAATCACCTATGCCAAAACTGCGGCCGAAGGCTTACGGGTGCCACGCGTTGTCGGGGTGGACAGTGCATGGCCGGTCTACGGGCAGCGTGATGGTGCTGTCGCCTGCGATGGCGAACGCAGGGATGACGGGGCACGGTTTCGAAACTGTGGCCGAAGGAGGCTGACGGGGCCACTCGCTGTCGGGGTGGACCGTGCATGGCCAATCTAGGGACAACGCGATGGCGCTGCATCCTGTAATTGGGCGTGCCGGGATGACGAAGAACGGCGGAGGAAGCAGCGGAGGAAAGTGGCGTCGTGCGGGCTGGGGTCCCGGGTGCCACCGCCAAGCAGAACGCAAAATCTGCCCCAGGCCGCCCTAGGTTCACCGCCTGTTTGCTGCATCCTCCTGAAGACGCGCCCGTCCCTTGCAAAACTTCCGGTAATCCGAGGTGGACAGATCCCAGAGGACGCGGGTGCCCGGCATGGCGGCCCAGGTGTCTTTGACGAGGAGCACGAGCTTACGCCGTGCAGGCAGAGGTGACTCCCCTCGCGGACTGGCGATGGAGCACCCCGCGGTGCTGGAGCCGCCAGCGTCCGTCGTCACTGGGGAGGAGCGAGGAGCCTCCAGGGCGGGCGGTGGGTTCACGTACTGATGCTTGCCAGGAATGACCCAGTCACCGGCTACAGCCCCTGACCCGGCGGGCTGCAACGACGGACGCCGCGCACCGCCCCGACTGGATTGTGCTGCTAGGTTCCGCTGCTCACGATTGCGTCGCTGGGTCCCGCTTTCCGGCCGCGGCGGCGATGGATATACGGGACGCGCGTCGCTGCCAGGATTTTCCCGTCCTCCGCCCCCGCGTTATCCGACTCCCCGAGGTTCCAGCCGTGGCGGCGAGGGTTTTCCATGTCTGGGGACGCGGCGGCGAGGAGCGCAACTAACCGTTGCAAAAGACGGCGTGATGGAGCCGTGCTCTCCCGACGGGCATCCTCGAACCCGGGGTGGGGAACGCCATGCCGTGGAGAGGTCGGATTCCGAAAGGGCTGCGGGAGGCCTATTGGGCCCAGTGTCTGGGTCCCCGTCGGGATCGTGCTAGGCAAGCGTCGTACCAGGTTGTCCGTCAGCTCTGCCTGCCGCCTGGGTACCGAACGTCGGTCGGGCGTGGCCGCTGCCTGGGTCCATCTCCGTGTCTGTCCAAGCACGCCGTCGTCGGTAACCGCCTCGGGTCCAGGCCCAGGGCGAGCACCTGAGTCTGGGTCGGAGCTCATGCCTCCGGCGGCTTCGCCCCGAGGGAGGTCAGTCGAAAACAAGCTGGTAAGCTTAGGTATACAGTCCGCCTTAGGCGCTTCCATATCCCAGGCTTAGGCTCATAGCGCATGAGCAAGAGAGCGAGACGAAGCATGGGATCTGGAGTAAAGAGTAGGATGGGCATCGTCAATGGAAAAGGATGTTTTCCGATCTCGGATGCAAGTAGTGCGCCTCAGTGAGGCACAGTCACATATCTGGCCGGGCCCGGCTTGAGCCAGGCACGGCAGCGGTACATGCTCGATTTATATCTCGCCTTTAACCTTCTCCGTTTAAAGTCGGAGGGGGAGGAGACGAGCAGGTACCGCACTACTATTATGCGGAAAAACAGTGCTAAGCAGCAGCGGCTGCCTACAAGGAAAGGGGCGCGCGAGTAGCCTCGCTACCGGCGAGTTTCCTCGCTGCTAAAGCGCACCTGCCCGCGGGTTTCCCCGCTGGCTCGGGAGGCAGGGCCGTCCTGAGACGACCTGCCCGCCCTATACGGTGTATGTTTCTTCAGCTCGTGCTTGAAGGATTGCTGGCCGGCCATTACTTGTAGGAGCAACGCGCGGTCAATGCTACCTTTGGTATGACCATCGGCAGTCATATCCCGCGTGTCACACCATTGGACGCTTTCCACGATTCCACGTTCCATCATCTGGCGAATCCAGCTGATGTGCCCAAGCAGAGTACACTCTGTGGGCTTCTTCAGATCCTTGCTAGACAAAGATTTGAAGACAGACTCGGCATCAATAGTCAGAGTGACTTTGATACATAGACCACCCATTTCCAATATGTTCTTCAACTGTGTGGGGGTCAATGGTCCCGAGTGTAGCTCGTGGAGCGTTACAATGGTCGGGTAGCAGTCTTCCAAGTTGTGGGCTGCTGCCAGTGTTTCCGCAGAGTAGCTCGAACGCACTTGCAGTCGATGAGACTTGCAGTATGCGTCCACCAGGTGCACGACGGGTTTCCCCGCTTGCGTGTGGCCACGCCTCAGCAGGTTAGCCCCGCGGATACCATAGCCTTTGACTTCGTCGTCTTCATCTCCGTTGAGACGACGATAGCCAGAATCGCTATGCAGGTCGACTTCTCCTGTTGGAGTCATAGCATGATACACGATCTTCTTCGGACCTGCCTGCAATTTTCTGGTAACCGCGTTTAGTCGTCGTACCTGGATGTTTGTCGGTTCTTGGATACGTTGTAGTGAGACAACATAGACCATTAGCCATACCTGCGTGATCAACGCATAGGCTAGAGCGCCACGAAGACTGACGAACATATCAGAAATTGTCTTCGTCGCCTTGCTTTCAGGATCAGCTCCTGTGAGTTCTGGATGTGTGATAGGACGAAGCTGTTTGATGTATTCGTCCTGGTCGAGAGTGACGCTCCCATCATCGGTCTTGTTGTACCGAACAGCACAGTTCGTGTATGTGTGCTTGTTCAGTTTGCACTTCCCAAACGTATCTTCAACACACTTGACATACTTGTCGATAGCCTCTTCCTTCCCAGTCATATTGATGTCATCAACGTGCTTGGCTGTCAAGAGGTTTGGGCTCATCTCGAATTCTTCGTCGTATGAAGTAGGCTGTAGCCCAAAGCTCCTAGTGATGGACCTGAGCTTCAGCGAGAACGCCCTGGGAGCATCCTTCGTGCCTGTCCCCGGTTTCAGACACCGGAGACAATGCTTTGATTCGTCATATGACTCAAAGCCTGGCAGTGTGCGAAGGACAGCTGCTGACCCAGGTGGTAGTGTGAAACACACCACACGTTCTTTCTCGCCCGTTGCCGCGGCGAGCTCGCCATAGGTCAGTCCCTTCAAGAAAGCCATGTTGATGTCCAGGGAAGCGATGATCCAAGCTTTGTTGCATGCAGCAGAACTTGCGAGCAGTCTCTGGCTTGACCTCCTTGCCGTGCCAGAGAAGGTTTCGACATCAAAGGCTTCGAGGTCCATGAAGCCACGGAGTACCAAGCGTAACCGGATCGTCCTTTCCATTTCGCCCTTTTCGTTCTTGACAAACTTCCATTTGTATACGTAGCGTGACGTCATGATGTTAGACGCCTTGCTTAAGTCAGTCATCTGGAAGCATTTGTTGTCAAGCCAAGTCTTCAGCTCTGTGTAGAGGGCTTTGGAAACTTTGACCGGATTTGCTTGGATGTCGGCCTTCGTGAGTAGATCGTCTTCCTTGACGACCACGGCACGTTTGGAGGCAGCGCTAACGTATACTCGCATAGTTGTGACGCTGCTGTCATCCAACAGTCGGTGTTGCTGCTCGGACAGGACGACTTTGGACATGTCTGCAGTGAAGCAGAGCTCGATATACTTCCCGTGCTCATCGGAGTCCAGATCATATTTGCTATCCGGTTCCGTGGAGCATAAAGGAACGTAGTAAGAAGTGTCCATGTCGTATCCTGGCGGGTGACCCCGCTCCGGCAAGTGGCCTTGCAC